GTTTGACCCTTTCCCTCCCTGTTCCCGGCTCTGGACCGTCTGCGGGTTTCGGGGTCGGGGCGGGGTTTAGTTGGGGCCGAGACTTGGGCGGTTTCGGGGGCTGCCCCGTTCGGGTTGGGGACAGGTTTTTGAGCCAGTTCCTCCTGTGAAGGCTTCTGGGTCTTGCCAGCGGCCCTTTCTTGCTGCCTTTCCCATGGACTCTTCCTTTTCTTTAAGGGCGGAGGGCTTGGAGGACGGCTCTGCCTCGGGGCCTCTGTTGTGGGTTCCCGGGGCTGGGGGGGATGCCTGCTAGCAGTTCTGGGGCGTTTGCCCCTGCCTGGGTTTTCTGCTTCTGGGCGGAGTTTTTCGCCCATCCAGTCTCCTTGCTTCCCACTTTTGCTGGCGTGTTTTCGTATCTTGCGTTGGTCACAGCCCTCTGTTCTGGTGGCCATTTTCTTCTACCTGTTTCCCAGCGTGGCCACCAGGGCTGCGTTGCGGTTTGTTTACATGCGCCTGGGTGTGCGAGCGAGTGTCTTGGGTGAGTTTTTTCACCTTTTTCAGGGGTTTTATTCTCCTGTTGTCATTTCCTTGCTTTTCTGGTGTTTTCTGCACATTTTCTGTTCCTCTGGGAACGTTTGAGTGTTGATTTTACACCGGGTTTTCCGTTTTGTCTGTTTTGGGTCTGGGTCCCAGGGTTTGGGCTAAGTGTCCCTGTCTGTTTTCTTGCAACCACACCTTGTCCCTCGGTTTTCAGTCTGTTTTGACCATTTCCCTGGGGGTTCTGTCTGGTGGCTGTGCTTTGCCTTTCTGTGGTGTATCTCCACCGGCAAATGTGGTGGTTTGGGCTCCCCCTGGTTTGATTCTGGGTTCCTTTGTGTTCTTTGGTTTCGTTCTGGAAGTTTCTTCCTCGTGGGCCCCCTTTGTGGGTTCAGGGGGCTTTGTTTCCTCATGTGTGACCCTGTTCTGCCTTCTGGAGTTCTGGGGTCTACCTGGCTTGCAGACTGATCTTTTTGGGTCTTGGCACGTGTTGTAATTACGTAAGTGTAGTTACAGGATGAGAGCTACGCTCGTGGTGTCCCGTCTTCCCAGCACTCTTTGTCATATAACGCTTTGAAACTACTGACGGTCTTGGCCTCCACCACCTTCTCCCCTAACTTGTTCCAACCGTCTACCACTCTGTTTGCGAAAGTGAATTTTCTTATATTTCTTCGGCATCTGTGTTTAGCTACTTTATATCTATGACCTCTTGTTCTTAAAGTTCTAGGTCTCAGGAAATCTTCCCTATCGATTTTATCAATTCCTGTTACTATTTTGTATGTAGTGATCATATCACCTCTTTTTCTTCTGTCTTCTAGTTTTGGCATATTTAATGCCTCTAACCTCTCCTCGTAGCTCTTGCCCTTCAGTTCTGGGAGCCACTTAGTAGCATGTCTTTGCACCTTTTCCAGTTTGTTGATGTGCTTCTTAAGATATGGGCACCACACAACTGCTGCATATTCTAGCTTTGGCCTAACAAAAGTCGTGAACAATTTCTTTAGTATATCGGTATCCATGTATTTGAAGTTAGAAAGCGTGGCATAGGCTCCTCACACAATATTCTTTATGTGGTCCTCAGGTGATAGTTTTCTATCTAGAACCACCCCTAGATCTCTTTCTTTATCAGAATTCTTTAAAGATTTCTCACATAATATATAGGTTGTGTGGGGTCTATGTTCTCCTATTCCACATTCCATAACATGGCATTTATTAACATTAAATTCCATTTGCCAAGTGGCGCTCCATGTACTTATTTTGTCCAGGTCTTCTTGAAGGGCATGACAATCATCTAAGTTTCTTATCCTTCCTATTATCTTAGTATCATCAGCAAACATGTTCATATAATTTTGTATACCAACTGGTAGATCATTTATGTAGACAATAAACATCAGTGGTGCAAGAACTGAACCCTGTGGTACTCCACTTGTGACATTTCTCCAGTCCGATACATTGCCTCTGATCACAGCCCTCATTTTTCTATCAGTCAGAAAATTTTTCATCCATGTTAGAAGCGTACCTGTCACTCCTCCAATATTTTCCAGTTTCCAGAACAACCTCTTATGTGGAACTCTGTCGAAAGCCTTTTTTAGGTCCAGATAGATGCAGTCAACCCAACCATCTCTTTCCTGTAATATCTCTGTTGCTCGATCATAGAAACTGAGTAAATTCGATACACAGGATCTTCCAGATCGAAAACCATACTGTCTGTCTGATATTATATCATTTCTTTCCAGGTGTTCTACCCATTTAGTTTTAATTATTTTTTCCAATATTTTGACTATTACACTTGTCAGTGATACCGGTCTATAATTAAGGGGGTCTTCCCTGCTTCCACTTTTGTAGATTGGAACTATGTTAGCCTTTTTCCACACATCAGCTACAACTCCTGTATACAGGGATGCCTGAAAAATCAGTTGAAGAGCAATGCTGAGCTCAGATGCACATTCTCTCAGAACCCATGGTGAAACTCCATCTGGACCAACTGCTTTGTTCTTATTTAGCTCCTTGAGCATTTTTTCCACTTTGTCTCTAGACACCTCTATGTGCTCTATGTTGTTCTCTGGAATTCTTATTGTATCTGGTTCCCTGAAGATTTCATTTTGTACAAACACACTTTGGAACTTTTCGTTTAATGTTTCACACATTTCCTTTTCATTTTCCGTGAATCTATTTCCCATTTTCAACCTCTGAATATTATCCTTTACCTGCAATTTGTTGTTTATGAATTTATAGAACAGACCTGGTTCTGTTTTGCATTTGTCTGCAGTCCCTTTTTCAAAATTTCTTTCTGCCTCTCTCCTCACTGCCGTGTAGTTGTTTCTCGCATCTTTGTATCTCTGGTATGTCTGGGGGTTCGGCCTCTTCCTGTATTGATTCCATTTTTGTGTCTTTTGGTCTCTGGCCCTCTCGCACTTTCTGTTGAACCAATCCTGTTTCCTTGTTCTGCTTCTCTGTTTTGGTATAAATTTTTTTGTGCCTTTATCATATCTTTCACAAAACCTGACATACATCTCATTCACTTCCTTGCCTAGCAACAAGTCTGTCCAATTATACTCGCTAAAAAATTTTCTAAGGTTGCCATAATGTCCTCTCCTAAAGTCAGGTTTTTCATTTGCATCGACCGTCATATTTTCTTCCAGATTATAACGCATTGCATACTTTATTCCCAAAAAGACATGGTCACTTTTACCCAAGGGAGGAAGGTACTGAATGTCAAATATTTCTTCCTCCTTCCTGGTAAATATCAAATCTAGCATGGAGGGGACGTCCCCTTCCCTCATCCTCGTAGCTTGTTTAATATGTTGATACAAGAATGTTTCCAGGATGAGATCTACAAATTTACAGGTCCAGAAATCTTCTGTTTTAGCTTCACATACTTCCTAGTCTATGGATTTCAAGTTGAAGTCGCCGACTATCAACAGTCGTGAACTATCGTTATCCGCTTTCGCTATGATCTCTCTCATTATTGTTATAAGACCTTCTCGTTTACTATCTAGCTCCTCCTTTGACCATGTGCTGCTTAACTGCCCATGTTGTGGAGCTGTCTCGGTGAAGATAGCAACAGGGAGCCACAGAGCCCCCTTTCCATAGAGGCATTTTATTACATACAACACTAGTTTTATATTGTAGTTATTGTAATACAGCTTGCAATAAGTGCTCTGAATGGCTTTTTTGGGGGAAGCCCTGTCGGCTTCCTGTAGCGACACCAGGCTGATATGCTAATGTCAGACTTTGGCATCAGTCATGTGTATGGAGTTCTTAGGGCCTACCGGGGACCACGGCCAGAACCTGGCCCCCTCAGAGAGGCAAGGGGAGCAATGGCCTATTGAAACCCCCGTGTGATTGGAAGCATTCTATGTCTGCCATCTACCGGGTCAAGCATCCAGAAAGGTAAGCATCCCAAAACAAACCCCTATTCTGGTTAAAATTGCTGCCAAAAGCCAAAGTAGTGGATAGAACTCCCTAACAGAAAACAAGCAAACTAGTATGACGTCACACGTCTCTGCGCCGCTGTCTGCGCAGCTCCCCCCGAGGGGGAAAGGGGAGCCCCAGACCTCTCACTACACACTTATGCAAGAAATGTACATGCAGCTTGGTACTTATCTTTGTAAACTAGACACAGGATATGGTAAGGGAAGAGGAGAAGAATCGAGGCAGAGCCCCCACAGAAAGTTGTTGACACCACACTGCCAGACCAGAGAAGGAGGACCCAGTGTCCAGTTGCCGACCTCCTAAGTTGTTGTTGTGGTTGCCGGGAAGAGCATAATTGATCGTGCAGCTACAAACAATACAAGTCTTCACCGGCCTTCGTTACTTTACTAGTTCTAAGAATAGTTAATAATTACTTCGCTGTTATACTTAACTATAACAAGCTCAAAAGTCTGAATGCTCTGTGCGAAACAAGATTCGTCTTACGTCTGGCAAGGAAGATAGGAACAACCGCGCATCAGCAAGCTCTTCAAATAATGTAAAGTAAATTATTTAGAGTTCAAATTGACCTCTGGTTTCCATCTGAGGAACCCAGGGTCGTAACAGGGACGCTTACCTTTCTGGATGCTTGACTCGGTCGATGGCAGACATAGAATACTTCCAAACGCACAAGGGTTTCTATAGGCTATTGCCCCCTTTGCCTCTCTGAGGGGGGGCCAGGTTCTGGCCGTGGTTCCCGGTAGACCCTAAGAACTCCATACACATGACTGATGCCAAATTCTGACATTAGCATATCAGCCTGGTGTAGCTCCGGGAAGCCTTCGGGTCTCACCCAGAAAATGGCGTTTCATTACATCCAACGCTGGTTTTTTGTACAATCACTGAAAAATTTCAAGAACCAAATTATGTAATACTAATGACAGTTTTGTAAATTGATGTAAGAGGTAATTTTATCAAATAAAATGTGTACAGTATATTATATACAAAACCAGATAAATTTGTATAAAATGCTGTCAGTCTAAACCTTGATATTTGTTTTTATTCAAAATTTGCAGGAGAACCATTGGCTTGTTCATGGTGGTAACCCACGTTGTTTGGACAGCAATCCTGGTAACAAGGAGATATTTGTGTCAGCATGTAATCCACAACAAGACACACAAAAATGGAAGTTTGAGCACTTTGATGCACAACGCTTAGCCAAGTGGGATCAGGCAGGACCAGGTCTGTGAAGGTAAAAAAGTAGTAGAATTTTTTGCTTTTTTCTAATATGATTATATAATTACATGTTTTATTTTTTAGTTTTAATATTTTACTTGAGAAAATATTGAACATTTGTTATTTTTAAAGTGGGACCATCTTACACTAGTATAGCTTACAAGGTATAATGTTCCTTACAAATATTCATAAGGTTAAGCGAATAATTAATTTATTTGCATGTAGATAATACTGCATGCATATGATAATTGCTTTTAATAATGGGATGGACAAGAACTTGACATGTAACAATTCCTAAAAGCGTCTTTTGTATTTACTGCATATGGGTCTCATTTTACAAAAACAAGTCATACTATTATTAAGCATTTATTGTTGAACTTGACACATAAGCAGTTGAATTATTGTTCAAATTATATTTAATAATGTGACAATATTGTCAGAATTTGGGAATACTAATTATTCATTGTAGATAATGAGTAATTGTTGGTATAGCCTTGCACATTTGTGTGTGTATTGTAGTACTCTGTATATTTTGGATTCTTATAAGCAACACAATAATTTAACATTTTATTCAGTTTACCAGTAGCATTCTGAATGTCAGTGTATAATGCCAAGAATAGTTATTATACATAAATATTCAATACAGAGGACCACTTGGTTTGCAAACCCCTTGGGGACGAGACCCGTCAGTTATTATGATGTGACAGTATTTTGTTTGCACTCACTATTTGTCTCTTATTATACAATAAGAGAAGTCCCCACTTCTCCCTCACTGCTGCTGGTCTCCCTCCCTCCCTCCCCCCCCCCCATGTGGCTAGCTTAGTAGATTGCCAACCAGACATAGCTGGAGAATCTCCACCTAATACGATAAAGCATTCATGAAACAAGTATTTTTATCATTTTTATTATCCTAATAATATTACTAAACAAAATCTGTGACCAAAAATATATATGATGATGTACATCCAGAATTTAAGAAACAAATCTGGCTAATGGGGTCGGGTGTGATAGGCTTATCAGAGTGAGCCCGTCCCTCCCCCACTCCCCCTCCCCCCCCACCCCACATCTCAAACACACACACTGCTTCAAGGTCACGTAGTTCAACTCAACATCTCTCCCTGCCTGCCTGTCTCCCTGCTTCCCTCCCTGTCTGCCTTTCCTTCCCTCCATGCCGATCGTCTTCTCTGCCTTTTCTTCACTCCATACTGCTCTCCCTCCCTCCCTCCCTCCCTCTCACTAATTCTCCCCCTCCCTCACTACTTGTCTCCCTTCCTGCCTCCCTCCTGCCTCCCTCCCTGCCTACCTCCCCCCCTCCCTCACTCCCTCTCTCATTAATTCTCCCCCTCTTTCACTTACTGCCTCCCACTCAAGCTTCCCCATCCATCCAACCACCAGTCAGCCATCACTGACGCAATGCCTGCATTTGGAGCCGACATGGTGCAGAGATATTCCTTGATTGTGTAGATGTGTAAAAACACTCACAGAATGAACACTCCAGCCTCATGACAAATCAAAACAATGGGAACAATAAGCCGTGAATCTTTGATGTCACAGGGTAGAAGGCACTCTAGCGTGGTGGCACCCGACACGGTCAGTGGGCAAACTAGGCCAATCTCCCACCCACCACCCCGGGCCTGGCGCAACGCTTTGCAGACCGCTTCCTCACCCAAACCTAGTTCATGTAGCGTGACTCCCAACCCCAATCGGGAAACTGGAACTTTCGGATAACTTGAGTTCGCAAACGAAGTGGCTGTCTGTAGTATCATTATACAGTACATCATACCTGTGAAATAAATGTATTATGTAATTTTATGAGATTTTACTATTCATAAATGAAGTTATAATTTCCATTACTCACGTGAATAGTTACTATTATACATGTAAAAGTACTTTTATGTTGGTGAGGTTGTTAAACACACATTGTGATTATCAGTGAGGATAGTGTGTAGAGCAATGTGGGAACAGCACCATAGTTCAATAATGCACAAAGAAACACCCAATATTTTGGGGGATTGTTAAAATGCATAGCTCTGTATTGTGGGTGGTAGTTTGAATCATGTTACACATGATCATTTTGTGCCATCACATAGATATATTTATATACAGTATATACATATTGCACTATAGCCCGGGCATTTTGAAATGTTATCATGGGTGTGATACACGCTGTTATTGGTGGAAAATCAATAGTTTAGATGAATTATAAAGTGACATTTTGTATTTTGAGTTTTGAAAGTGAATAATAAAATTGTATTTGGTGCAGAAGAGTATATGGAGTGTAGTCAAGTAGAGACTGAGCTGAATGGTTGTGTTTATTCACTAGAGATTTGTTAACAGCATGTGGTTAACATGTGGTTGATGAAGTACACAATTTACTTAGTTATTATTTAAAGGCATATTAGGGAGGTGCTAGAATATAAATTAATTAGTTGTATGGGTTTGGAAATTGTCATGCTCCTAAGTCCATCCCTATTAACCAGCATAGTATTGGTGGAATACCTTCAGGCTATTGCACAAAATTATATTTTATATTTTACTAGTCATAATTTATACAATATAAAACTTTTTAACCTGTGTTGTTTACCAGAGGAAGATATATGATTATATATGTTGAGTGTAGCCCTGTTTCTCAGGATTTTTACACGATCATATCATTTCTGAAATAATAAATGAAATGTGTTTTTATTACGTCATTCTAATCTACCTCTCATTATTAACCTAATTTTAAAGAAGGACTTAAAAAATTCTCATTGACATGTCACGTTAATGTGATTTCACTGTGCAATGACTTACATAATGACATTGATACGTCATTTTGCAAGTAATTTGTCTGCCAGTTGAATTAACCTACTATTCATTAAAAAATTTAAATTATTTTTAATCGAGAGGATTCTTTTTTTTTTTTATTGTAGTCTTAAATACAATTGTATTTATGTACCTAATGTGTCTAATAATTTTAATGAGAAGAATTTATGGATTGGGATCATTACTACATAATAAATTTATGACATGAATTTATGAAATAAATTCATTACTTTACATAATAAAACTGAATGCTTCTGTATATGTATCTTTGTTATATACATTACAACTTTTCATATCTACCGGTAAATGCATTGTGATTGAGGGTCATTGAAGCGTAAGCATTGTAATAGTTCAGATTTACTCCCACAGACTGTTCTATATTTACTGCAATGACATTTTCCTAAACTGGACGTCCTTGGTTGCTCCCAAGTCAAGACCAGGGTTCACGTAGCAGATAGTTTGCAGATTTGTTTACTTTGAATCCAATGGGGCAAGGAACTTTTTAAATGGTTTTGCCATGTTGTCCAGGGATGTGGAGATAGGGCAAAGCAGAGATATTGCTTGTTTTGTCTCATGTCTAGGCATTGGTGGTGTGAAGTGTCAGTCCATCCTTCTGTTTTGATAGTACTTAAAGTTACGATGTGGACCATCATATATATATTTTTATGTAATGGACAATTACAAAGTAGGATTTGGTACTATTGAATTTGGACAAACTGGAAACAGTTTTGTATTTATGTTGGTAATAAAATGTAACCGGACCTAACCATCTTAGGCTTATTACACGCTACCTGAGATCTAATATAGTACATATTAGGAATATTTAAGTTAGGTTTTTAGTTTAATTTTTTTCTGGATTCCATAAAGTGAAAAGTACCAAATTCTACTATGTAATTGTCCATTACATCAATATATGTACGATTATGCAGTCACAAAAATGTACTATCTAAACGGGGATGGGTTGGAACTGTTTACTGTACACTGATTGCTCGAGGTGTCTCAGTCAGGTGCTGTCGTGGTGGCTCTCTTTTAGTTAGAATTTTACTTGTGGGTGTAAAGTACCTTTCTGAGGGGAGCCCTGTTGGCTTCCTGAAGCTATCACACTGATTAAGTGCCATACTACTTTGAGTTGTCAGTTGCGGAGTTCTCTTTTGCCTACCAGGGGCCACAAGCCAGAACCTGGGGTCAGATTCACGAAGCAGTTACGCAAGTACTTACGAATGTTTTTCTTCTTAGCATCTTTGTGGCGGCTATGTCGGGATTCAGGTATAAATTTAAGAAGGAAAGTCTTTGTAAATAAACACCGTCGCTCTAAGAGCGCTCTAGACCAGTCGTAGCTTTACGTAAACTGGATATAACTCAACTTTTCTCTATTACACAAACAGGAGGATCTTTGCTGGAGAGTCTCATCAAGGAGGAGTCCTTCATGTTAGCTATATATTCTCTGCTTGAAAGTAGTAGTAAATATGTCTTTTTTTATATATTTAGAGTTATAATAGCAAGATATCATTCCAATAGTTATTGCGTAAATAAACACTAATAAACTTGGGATATAAGAGTAGGTGATGACAGGAATGCTTGGAAGCATTTACTATTACCTAATGCCTCTGTTCACCTATTCAGGAGTTAGTTAGCTTGTTGTGAGGCTGCATCCTGTGGGGAAAGGGGGGGGGGGGTCTCGATACAGGTCTAACATGTGTATAATTAATAATAATTTATTGTTTCGGGGACAGGCAGGGAGAGTGTATATATACATGCTAGCCTTATATCGAGGCCCTCCACCTCCCAAAGATGGAACTCCACAAGCTGACTAACCCTTGGGTACCTACTTACTGCTAGGTGAACATGTGCATTAAGTGATAAGAAGTGCACCCAACCATTTCTGTCCCGTCCAGGTTTCGAACCCAGAATTCTCGATTGTGAGTCGAGAACGAACCCGACTCAATGTCAAGCTACCTAACCTAGCCCAACCCATCCCAGTCTAACCTTACTCAACCCAACCTAGCCCAACCCAACCCATCCTAACTGAGCCCAATACAGCCAAACCTAACTTACTGCAGCCTAGTATAACAATACATAAATACAATTTTAGCAAACAGAAAATGAGCTTTGTCAAATCGTCTTGTGTCCAAAATGCCCCAGTCAGGCACTTTACAATTTACTGTATACGCCTTCATATTCCATTAATTAAAAAAAAAAAATTCAGTTATTATTAAATTTTAACTAGGACAAACCCTTACCTAACATCATTTTGTGCTGCATTTTTATTCAACACTTATTGTGTTTGATGTTCTACAGTACTATTTTTTTATCTGTTTGCACACTACAGACTGAAGATCCTTCTTCCTATAGTTACCCATGGCCTAACAATGATGGTTTAAATTTATCATTATGTGATGAGGTAGATTGCTTGGCTGATTCTTCTACATGTAGCATTGAACAAGTGTGTGTCCAAGACCTCTTCCTCTGTTACACAGTTTGGCTGTAACAATAAACCTAATTTGTTTATTAATAGATAAGTGCACCTATAAGTAAAACAAATCTTGTCAGCTGTAAAAGTATTGATGCATTTATTTAAATAAAAAACATAATGAAACAAATATTTCTGGCTAATTTTTATCCTATCTTTTGTACTGTATATATAAAGATGTGAAAAATTGAGACACGCTGCACAATTTAATGACACAAAAGAAATATGACTATTACATATCAATACAAGATCTTAATGATCCATGGTTAACATTATTTAATAAGGATAATACTGGTAATAATACCAACTATAATTTAAACCTTTATTACTTAATTTTTTTATTAAGAAGCTTAGGTATACACAGCAATGTGCTGCTACCCTATTATATGCGAAAGATTACACAGTGTAGATCAAAAACTAGCTATAAGTTTATCTAATATTTCCACCTCACAGAATGGTTAGTCATACTTGGAATCAGGGAAGAAAATACCTGCCTCGGTACAAAAAAACAAATCAACTCTGACTAAACAACAACTTCATGATTTTCACAAGAGGTAAACACTGAATCATGTTAACATTATAATTACTTTAACGAGTTTCTACAAGACTCCTCTCAATGTCTTTTCTTTTTTAACAAGCTTAGGTATACACAGCAATGTACTGCTTCCCTATTCTGAATGAAGGACCACACAGTGTAGATCAAAAACTACCTACAAGCTCATCCAACATCCCCACCTCACAGGACGGCCAGTCATACACAGAGGGGGCCTTGTGGGGCCCCCATGAGGCCACCAGGGGCCTCGTAGCCTGGTGGATAGTGCGCAGGACTCGAAATTCTGTGGCACGGGTTTGATTCCAGCACGAGGCAGAAACAAACGGGCAAAGTTTCTTTCACCCTGAATGCCCCTGTTACCTGGGAGTTAGTCAGCTGTCACGGGCTGCTTCCTGGGGGGGGTGTGTGTGTGGTGTGGAAGAAAAAAAGAAAAGAAAAAAATAGTAGTAAACAGTTGATTGACAGTTGAGAGGCGAGCCGAAAGAGCAAAGTTCAACCCCCACAAACACAACTAGGTCAACTAGGTGAACACGGAATCAGGAGAGAACATGACAGGTAAGGCTGATCTATTAACCTCTACTAGCATAACCTAGTACAGCACAAGAACATCTTCCAATATTCTTGAGTGTATGAAGTAATTACAGAGCTCATAGTACCTTATACCATTTGGTCTGAAGTCATTGATAACAGGGCAGTCACAGATATAGTGTTGGAGAATATGTCCTCTCAAGTAGGACTGAAAACGGGGGATGTTTTTTACCCAGAGGGTTATAAACCTATGGAACCGCCTACCCGCTGAAGCCGTAAATGCCAAAATCTAGCTAGAAAATATCATTAGGACAATTGGCAGGACCTTTAACAAGCCGCCGGCTTTCTGTCCTCGTCGAGGTCACTAGATAGTGGCCCTTGGGTAAATTTAGGTAAATATATATGTAAACAAATAGCATCGCTTTTCAAATCACAACTCACAACTTCAAATCTTCGGAGCGACAAGGAAAGCCACACAGTATTTCCGAGAATGATGTAGGTTAACAAAAGTATAACATATTTGTTTACCGCAATGTCGGTGCTGCCTGTAGAAGTTAAAAAACATAGTTTTACTTTGAAATATACTAGTTATATAAGAAAATTTGACGTAAATAGGTAGCAAGTGACCATGGATGAACTACAATGTGCCAGCGTCGTGCAATACTTAAGAACCTTTGTAGCACACCTACTTAGGAAGAAATACAGTACATGGAACTTCGTAAATCTAGCTCCTGATGCCTTCAGAGGCACAGAACCAGTCTCCGTGGTGTAGTTGTAAGACACTCGCCTGGCGTTCCGAGAGCGCTTTGTCATGGGTTCGTATCCTGGCCGGGGAGGATTTACTGGGCGCAAATCCTTAACTGTAGCCTCTGTTTAACGCAACAGTAAAATGTGTATGTACTATTTTTTTATCTGTTTGCACACTACAGACTGAAGATCCTTCTTCCTATAGTTACCCATGGCCTAACAATGATGGTTTAAATTTATCATTATGTGATGAGGTAGATTGCTTGGCTGATTCTTCTACATGTAGCATTGAACAAGTGTGTGTCCAAGACCTCTTCCTCTGTTACACAATTTGGCTGTAACAATAAACCTAATTTGTTTATTAATAGATAAGTGCACCTATAAGTAAAACAATCCTGTCAGCTGTAAAAGTATTGATGCATTTATTTAAATAAAAAACATAATGAAACAAATATTTCTGGCTAATTTTTATCCTATCTTTTGTACTGTATATATAAAGATGTGAAAAATTGAGACACGCTGCACAATTTAATGACACAAAAGAAATATGACTATTACATATCAATACAAGATCTTATTGATCCATGGTTAACATTATTTAATAAGGATAATACTGGTAATAATACAAACTATAATTTAAACCTTTATTACTTAATTTTTTTTATTAAGAAGCTTAGGTATACACAGCAATGTGCTGCTACCCTATTATATGCAAAAGATTACACAGTGTAGATCAAAAACTAGCTATAAGTTTATCTAATATTTCCACCTCACAGAATGGTTAGTCATACTTGGAATCAGGGAAGAAAATACCTGCCTCGGTACAAAAAAACAAATCAACTCTGACTAAACAACAACTTCATGATTTTCACAAGAGGTAAACACTGAATCATGTTAACATTATAATTACTTTAACCAGTTTCTACAAGACTCCTCTCAATGTCTTTTCTTTTTTAACAAGCTTCGGTATACACAGCAATGTACTGCTTCCCTATTCTGAATGAAGGACCACACAGTGTAGATCAAAAACTACCTACAAGCTCATCCAACATCCCCACCTCACAGGACGGCCAGTCATACACGGAGGGGGCCTTGTGGGGCCCCCATGAGGCCACCAGGGGCCTCGTAGCCTGGTGGATAGTGAACAGGACTCGTAATTCTGTGGCACGGGTTCGATTCCCGCATGAGGCAGAAACAAACGGGCAAAGTTTCTTTCACCCTGAATGCCCCTGTTACCTAGCAGTAAATAGGTACCTGGGAGTTAGTCAGCTGTCATGGGCTGCTTCCTGGGGTGTGTGTGTGTGTGGTGTGGAAGAAAAAAAGAAAAGAAAAAAATAGTAAACAGTTGAGAGGCGGGCCGAAAGAGCAAAGTTCAACCCCCACAAACACAACTAGGTCAACTAGGTGAACAGGGAATCGGGAGAGAACATGACAGGTAAGGCTGATCTATTAACCTCTACTAGCATAACCTAGTACAGCACAAGAACATCTTCCAATATTCTTGAGTGTATGAAGTAATTACAGAGCTCATAGTACCTTATACCATTTGGTCTGAAGTCATTGATAACAGGGCAATCACAGATATAGTGTTGGAGAGTATGTCCTCTCAAGTAGGACTGAAAACGGGGGATGTTTTTTACCCAGAGGGTTATAAACCCATGGAACCGCCTACCCGCTGAAGCCGTAAATGCCAAAATCTAGCTAGAAAATATCATTAGGACAATTGGCAGGACCTTTAACAAGCCGCCGGCTTTCTGTCCTCGTCGAGGCCACTAGATAGTGGCCCTTGGGTAAATTTAGGTAAATATATATGTAAAGAAATAGCATTGCTTTTCAAATCACAACTCACAACTTCAAATCTTCGGAGCGACAAGGAAAGCCACACAGTATTTCCGAGAATGATGTAGGTTAACAAAAATATAACATATTTGTTTACCGCAATGTCGGTGCTGCCTGTCGAAGTTAAAAAAAACATAGTTTTACTTTGAAATATACTAGTTATATAAGAAAATTTGACGTAAATAGGTAGCAAGTGACCATGGATGAACTCCAATGTGCCAGCGTCGTGCAATACTTAAGAACCTTCGTAGCCCACCTACTTAGGAAGAAATACAGTACATGGAACTTCGTAAATCTAGCTCCTGATGCCTTCAGAGGCACAGAACCAGTCTCCGTGGTGTAGTGGTAAGACACTCGCCTGGCGTTCCGAGAGCGCTTTGTCATGGGTTCGTATCCTGGCCTTGGAGGATTTACTGGGCGCAAATCCTTAACTGTAGCCTCTGTTTAACGCAACAGTAAAATGTGTATGTTATAAATAATAGTGTGTGGGGCTTCTATGGAGAACTGGTACTATTAGGGGTAAGGGTAGTTAGAAGACAGAGTATCAAATATGGGAGAGCTAAAAGGCCCGGCCCCCAAAATAAACTATCCACAGTAGTAATAACTTGCTACTAGACCATATATGTTAGTCTAAGGGTTGATCAATGCACTCCCACTCAGGAAGAAGGGATACTCTGTAATTCATGTACTTATTTATTAACCCCTTAACAACCCCCCATATACACTCACACCAATAACAATAATAATAATAACTTTACCACACTATCTTACGTTAAAAGCCTTGGTCCACATGGGCAGGATACAAGGTTTACACTAATAACAAGCTAGGGTAAATTACTACTGGATAAGCACTGAAGCTGGATGCAGCTTAGGGTAGTGAGACCATGTGGTACCCTAATACAAAACACAACACTTAGGGTTACCCAAAACACTGGCAACTACTACCCCGAGGTCCCACCAATCGTTACTACCAGAGTAGGTACACTTAGAAATCATACAATACTTAACTTAATGGTACAGGAACTTAAGGTAAGGGAAATAAGTAAGAGGAGAAGGGAGGAGATTAGGGGTGCAGCCACAGAGTAGGTCTCGTCCGCACGAACGCCAGCCAGAGAAGACCCTCCTAGCGACCAGCTAGGCCTCCCATGTCGTGGTGCCGGAAGGAGCCTAATTGATCGTGCAGCTAAGCACATTAAAGATCTTCCCCTATGCAACGTATTGTTACTTTACAAATGATTAGAAAGTATTAGTAAGCAAAGTTGGTGCCTATGTTATTATTTAATAATCAACCCCCAGCTCAGTCTTTAAATGCTCTTTGAGAAATGGTCACTGCTTGCATCACAAGCGGGGATGTTTCTGGCGGGGGAGAAAGAAACAATTGCGCAGCGCGTCCCGCGGCGTTGCGCGGGCAGTTGGGGCCGTATAAATACGGGCGCACAACGGGGCTCCGCCTCACTCCGCCTGCCCTCGCAAAACTCTCACTTATCTCACTTATTAGTTATTCTTTGTGTCCTGCCTGTTATATCCTAGTGTTATATAATTACTACACATTTGCACTCGGCCTTAATTCTAGTACCAGTTAACCTTTAGGTTTCTGCAGAATTAGTTTCCATGTCACTATAGGCTAAGGTCTCATACTTACTACGGGTGTACCTTTTAAGTTAAATCTAGTCCTTGGAATTGTTACTGTTAATTCGTACTTTATATATTTACTTTATATATTTTAATATAAACGTTATATATTCCTTAAATTATATTTGAAACTTTGTATATTTACATGTTCAATATTAAGTTTTATATAATATCAACTTTGTTAAGTCTATAATATAAACCGTGTTTAATATAAACTTTATATAATTACTTACTTTATGTGAACTTTATATATTTACATGTTCTGCAGAATTTAATCTTCAATAAACTTTAACGCCCCATACTGCCAGTATCTTTCTCCCCCTGGTCAGAAAACAATAATAGTCTTACGTCTGGCAGGGAAGATACAAACAATTGCCGTTCGTGATGCACTCAACTGTACTACCAAAAAGTTTAATAGTTCAAGTTTTGACCTCTGGTTTCCACTGGAGAACCCAGGGTCGTAACAGTGTACTTGGTTGTAACAACGATTCTTGGCGGCGGGGATCGTATATTCCAGGGACCTGCCCGAAACGCTACGCGTACTAGTGGCTGTACAAGAATGTAACAACTCTTGTATATATCTAAAAAAAAAAAAAAAAACAACAGTGACGCGGGCCGTGGGTCCCGTTTTGGAGTGTCGTAGGGGTCCCTGGAGGGCCCCCTCGGCACACGCGCCAGCGTGTGCCAAGCTGCTAGCACAGTATGCTAGCTGCGGATGTTCCTGCTGTCGGTGTTCCAGCTGCTGATGTCCCAGCCGTGGATGTCCCGGCTGTTGTTGTTCCAGCTGCTGACGTTCCCAGCCGGTGGTGTTCCAGCTGCTGACGTTCCCAGCCGGTGATGTTCCAGCTGCTGCTGGCGCAGCTGCTGCTATTCCAGCTTGCTGATGTTCCAGTTGATGATGTTCCAGCTGCTGATGTTCCAATGGTTGATGTTCCAGCTGCTGTTGTGCTAGCTGCTGATGTTTTTGCTTTCAGTGTTCCAGCTGATGTCCCAGTTGTTGATACTCCAGCTGTCGGTACTCTAGCTGTGGAGGTCCCAGCTGACGATGTTCCAGCCACCGTTGTTCCAGCTGCCGTTGTTGCAGCTGATGATATTCCAGCTGCTGATGTTCCAGATGCGATATCCCAGCTGTTGGTTTTCTAGCTGTTGATGCTCCAGCGGATGTTGTTCCAGCTGCTGGTGTTCTAGCTGCTAATGTTCCCTCTGCTGATGTTCCAGCTGTTGGCGTTCCAGCTACTGACCTAGCTGCTGATGTTCTTGCTGTTGGTGTTCCAGCTGTTCATGTCCCAGCTGATATTGTTCTAGCTGATGCTGTTCCAGCTGATGCTGTTCCAGCTGCTGATGTTCCAGCTGTGGATGTTCCAGCTGCTGATGTTCCACCTGCTGATGTTCCACCTGCTGATGTTCCAGCTGTTGATAGTCCAGCTGTGGATGTTCCAGCTGATGCTGTTCCAGCTGAAGTTGTTCCAGCTGATGTTGTTCCAGCTGCTGATGTTCCAGCTGCTGATGTTCTAGCTGTTGACGTTCCAGCTGATGTTGTTCCAGCTGCCTATGTTCCAGCTGCTGATGGTCTAGCTGTCGATGTTCCAGGGCTCTGGCACGTCCTAAAGCCACTTTGTTTCACTGTGAAACAACTTTAGTTTCTATGCCCTTGGCTGGGCCACTTTGGTTTCTATGCCCCTTGGCCGGGCCACTTTAGTTTCTATGTCCCTTGGCTGGGCAACCCCGTCATCCCCCCCCCCCCGTATATGGGGCTCCTTCAATTCTCTAGGCCCTTGGGCTGCGCCCAGCGTTACTTTCATGTTAGCTCCCAGCTTCTCTCAAGAAGACTTTTAAGTTGATTACAAGACGATTCCGGCACGACCTAGGGACTGGTGATGTTCCGCCTGCTGGTGTCCCTTGAGGCCCTTTGATGATTTCCAGTTGATGATGTCCCAGCTGTCGATTTGCGGCACGTCCTAAGGACTGGTGTGTTCCAGCTGCTGATGTTCCAGTTGATGACGTTCCAGCTGTTGATATTCCAGTTGTTGTTGTTGTTGTGCCAGCTGATGATGTACCAGCGGCTCATGTCCTTAGTTGCAGCTGATCCGATGCCATTCTGACCTTTGCTGGGCCCGCCAGCAAGCCCTTGGCAAGGCTTCTCCAGTTATGCCCCTTAGCTGGGCCCCTCAGTATGCCCCCTTAGCTGGGCCCTGTCGGCTCCCCCTTAGGGGGCCCGACAGTTATGCCCCTTAGCTGGGCCCTTCAGTATGCCCCCTTAGCTGGGCCCTGTCGGCTCCCCCTTAGGGGGCCCGACAGTTATGCCCCTTAGCTGGGCCCTTCAGTTCTACACCCCTTATCTGGGCACGGCAGCCTGGCAATCGGCAAATGAATGAGCTCCCAGGGTCCCCTTCCCTCGACAACGCACCGTCCCTGGGGGCGCCGCTGTTCTTCGCTCCTGCGCTAGCGAGGTGCCCGTCCTGTTTGTCGACGTATACCCGGCGTCCTAGTCCTACGAAGGGAGTGATTGCTTGATTGATAAAGATTAAACCACCCAAGAGGTGGCACGGGCACAGAGGTGGTACAATTTTTTGTTCAGTAATTCTTTTCAGTATTCTGAGGTCGCATTTAATCGTCAAGCTGCTATCGCGGGGAGGATACTGCTTGACAGTCTTTATGGGGGTGTCCAGGTGCTGGACACCTTTTTTGATCAGGTGAGTGGCTGTGCTAATGGCTTCAAGGTGGCCACTGCAAGATTCAGGGACTCTTAAAGCTCTTCTAAGGTCGTTGGTTGCTTCACATTCCAGAAGATAGTGATCGAAGTACTGGCTTTTCTGTGACAGTTTGGCAAAAGATGCACTCTTTTCTGATCAGGGGGAGAAAGATACTGGCAGTATGGGGCTTTAAATTTATTGAAGATTAAATTCTGCAGAACATGTAATTATATAAAGTTTCAAATATATAAAGTAAGTAAATATATAAAGTTTATATTAAACACGGTTTATATTATAGACATAAACAAAGTTTATATTATATTGAACTTAATATTGAACATGTAAATATATAAAGTTTCAAATATATAAAGTAAGTAAATATATAAAGTTTATATTAAAATATATAAAGTAAGAATTAACAGTAACAATTCCAAGTCCGAGGACTAGATTTAACTTAAAAGGTACACCCGTAGTAAGTATGAGACCTTAGCCTATAGTGACATGGAAACTAATTCTGCAGAAACCTAAAGGTTAACTGGTACTAGAATTAAGGCCGAGTGCAAATGTGTAGTAATTATATAACACTAGGATATAACAGGCAGGACACAAAGAATAACTAATAAGTGAGAGACCACATAACACGTAATGTACCCGGCCAAGAGGCCGTAAAAGACCTAATGGATAAGGAGAAGGGGGTGTGACTACAAGTAGGGCTTACTAGCACCTAGACTGGGCAAAGTATTAGCTGCGGACAGCGGGACACTTGGGGACCGGCGCTGCTTTGCGAGGGCAGCGGCGGGGCAGGCGGAGTGAGGGCAGAGCCCCTCTGTGCCCCCGTATTTATACGCGCCCCAGACTGCCCGCGCAACGCCGCAGGACGCGCTGCGCAAATGTTTCTCCCCCATCAGAAACATTCCCGCTTGCGATCAAGCAGTGGCCATATCTGTCGGGGTTCACCAATCTCCCAGTTGCATCTGTAACCTAGACGTAGTCTATATAACCTAACTGCTATTACCCTGTGGATTCCTTTTGGGACATTTAACCTTTCTAATTTGGTTGCATGAAGATAACACGTTGCAGAGGGCGAACCTTCAGCTACTGTCTGGTGTAGATAGGCTTTGTTGAGGTGTGAGAGTTTTTTGGTGATGTTTTTAATGTTCTCTAGGCTGGGTTGAATTGTTTTGCGTCACTGGATGCCCTTGGGGTGGGTGCATAATAAAGAAAGAAATTGAATTGTATAAATCTACCTACTTAATAAATAAGTCCCCATACTAGGCCTGCGTTTTTCTCCCCTAGCAGAAAATGATGATAAATACTGATTCATGGATATATTATATTATAATTATTTTTGCGAGTTTACACAATATTCTTCTTAAAATAATGTATTATTATTATTATTATTATTATTATTATTATTATTATTATTATTATTTTTATTATTGTTATTGACCAAAAAATTCTGAGGTTTATAGATGGGACCTCAATGTTATTGTTACCAGATCTACGAGGGAATGTAGGTCCTCAAATATAGTTCTATATGATGAATTATCAGAAAAATAAAATAATGTATATGAAGGCCGAATTACGAAATAAATACTAAGTATATATATTGTACATTTTGATAATTTCGTAATATTTGGTATTAACCTACCTAGGTGTGTCCGCAGTTATATCGTTTATGCTTAAGTTGGCAAGAATTACAGATATAAACACAGCTGGTGACAGGAGGTTGAGCGAGCAGCAGCAGCAGCAGCAGCAGCAGCGGCAGCGGCAGGCGGAGGAAATCCACGTAGTATATCACAGTCATGCACTATACAACAGTAAACATGGGTTTTCCTGATTAACTAATTGATTATATTCAGGATAAATGTAACGTAAAAATGTGACCATACATCAGTTTATTTAATGCCCATATTTTTGTTAGATTTTTTTTAAAACATAAAGCAGGTTAATAGATCAAATTAGATGTCTTAAATACAGTATGCACATTGACTTGCACATTTTTTCTTTTATCTTGCATAATTATAACTTGTGTTTTGTCAAATGGTTGGTTTACTTGTCAAACTGATACTGCAGAGTACTAATGTATACTTAGCCAATACTGGATAAGTGGCTGACACGTAGTTTGGCAAGAACCAGAGATATGATAGAAGTATGTAGAGTACTGTAGTGTATGAATATCTCTGCTCATAGTAGATGGGCCTTACAGCAGACGAGTGGTATTATTTTAGTATATATTTTCCTTGCCATATGCTTAAAACAAACCTATTTGACAATGGCCTCTAAATGGGTGAAAGTTTGACATGAGCATGTCATAGTTACGAACAAATGTTTTACTTTAGAATTTTATGCGGATATTACAAATTGAAGTGAGTACTGTACCACAAATGAGAACAGTGTAAAAACTCAGTAGGTCTAACACAGTGTTAGTTAGTTTAGTTCATTTATTATGCACCCCATACCTATCTTGTGGGCAGTAGTGGAAAGGGTTACAGAGGCACATAATTGGCTCATAGACTGAACCCCACAATTCATTTAGCGAAGAAAGTTACAATTTTCATGAGCTAGTTTCAAAATTCAGTATAAGTCGTCATGTCAATGGGGTCGAGATCGACCACAAGTATAGTTTCTAAATTAAGCAACTGACACATGTGGAGAGCTAGTGTCACAATTTATATGTTTGTCCTGCACACTGCCCCCATCCAGTGGGCAGCAGTGGATAGGTTACAATCACTTTTTTCTGGTAGCGGATCATTTTGAATTATATATTTACACATCGTTGGAACATTGGTTATAGAATTGTCTCTGAATTCAAGTATCTCGCACTCCATCACATAGTGACGGAGGGTGTGCGAATAATTTTGTTGAAAGTTTACATTTGGTCAGGTCTACATCAGCAGATAATGAGAATTCTCAGAGATACTTGTAACCGAGTCTAAGCCGAGCAGTAGTAACATCTAGAAGTCTGCTGATTTTATTGGATGAACCATAGATGTATGGCTCTAGCATGATAGTATGATGACAGATGGAATTACTGATGTTGATTTCACTTTGCCTCGGATCTACAAGATTTAGTTGAAGTTCTTGGTGTACTATTGCTCTTGGACTGCTCATTGACAATCCAAAGTTATACTCAATTTCTCCCTTAAAGACAGATTCTTTGGTTAACTCATCAGCTCTATCATTCATTTGGAGGCCAACACGAGATGGAGACCACATGAAATGAACTCTGTTATCACCATTAATAATTTTTGTAATATAAGTTTTTACCTGAATTTTATCTGAGGGCTACTAACATTAGTGGCCTCCACGAGAACAGGACGACTGTGGCTTGTCGAAGGTTCCCCCATTTCCCCTGATGATTTTTTCCAGTTGTATTTTAAAACCAAACATTTTTTGGCATTCACGGCTTCAGTGTGCAGGTGGTTCCTTGAGTTTATAACCCTGAGGAGGGGGGGAGGGGGGGAAGCATTTCCTGTTCTCAGTCCTACATTGTGGCTTGTTGAGCTTGAAACGATTGCTCCTTGTTTGTGTTAGATCTGACCTTTTGAAGAAACTGTTCGGATCAACATCCTCCAAATTCTTAAGTATTTTAAAAGTTTCAATAAGATCTGCCTTGTCATGCCTGGTTTGCAGTCTTGTTAGTCCTGTGCCCCCTTAACAACTCTTGGGACTAGAGGTGACGTAGCTCTAGAATGATTTTTGTTACCTGGTGTTGCGCTTTCTCCAGAGCAGCTATGTCCTGAAGATAAGGTCTCCATGCTTGGATACAGTAATTCAAATGTGTAATACAGTACACATTTACTGGATACAGTAATCCAATAAAGTAATATTGGATACAGTAATCCAATACAGTATTATTGGATACAGTAATCCAATACAGTAATATTGGATACAGTATTCAAAGTATTATACCGATGTTGTATATCAGTATAAACATGTACCGACGTACAATACAGTTAGAAAGTAGAAATCGGTTGTATTGAGTATGTACAAACTGGAAAACGATTTTTAACTTATGTTGCATAGACAAAATAAACTAACCTAACCTAGCTTTCTTTGGCCTGTGACAGGAAACGTTTGTGGTCGTGCAGTCTGTAATGCCAGTCACAAAATATTAAAAAAATAAAAGAAAAAAGTTAAACTGCAAAGGTGTCTTCACAGTGAGATAAACTGTAGGATAAAGCAGAGGGAAAAGCATTTAAAAATACTTTACTTTAAAAGTAAATTAATCAAATTAAAAAAATATCCAGGCTTGGCTTTAATACAAAATATGCAAAACAAACAAGATGAACAATCAAATTTACATTAAGGTGCAAAATAAAATATGGTGTGGAGTACTGTGAGTCAAACTAAATAGCTCTGTTACCACACTGGGGTATGTCAACAGGTCTACTCAGCAAGAGCACTCGGGAGTAATCTGAATCTTTGAGATCTTGGTAGCCCTATTTATACAGAATATTGGCCGGGCAGATGGCGCTGATGTCTCCTTTAACTATGAACCGGCTCACTTGAACTGCTTGTTTGGAAGGGCGTGGCCTCCCAGTGACCCAGGTGCGAGGTGGGGTGATGGGCCGTGGTGAAGGAGGAAGACTGGTGGTATTGTCTAGACGTCTGGAAGAAGTTATTGTTGTTGTTGGCTGCAGTTCTTGATTAAATAGATATGAATGAGTAGAATAGGTGATAATGGAGTAGGCCGAATCTCTTCCTAGAGATTTTACCGTGATAGGCCTAATACATGCTCTCTGAGACCTAATATAGTACATGTGTGTGCTATTACACACAGATGTTGTGTGCTATATTAGGCCTAGGAATATTTAAGTTTGTATTTTAGCTTCATTTTTATTACTAAAAGTAAATACGTACGGTAGTACAAAATTCCACTATCGAGTTGCTTAGTACGTCAATGTTTGTACAGTACTATGGTGCACATAGTTACAAAAAGTATTGTCTAAACAAGAGGATAGGTTGGGGGCCTCAGAGCACACCAAGCATGCAGAAGCCCAATGCCATTCTGATATAATGGTATTTCCGGAGATGCAAACAAAGTGGCTCGATGGGGATAAATAGTTTATTATAATAAAGCTACTAAAAGTTGCTATATAATGATAATATAATTATAATAGTAATAATCAATTTCCAATAATAATAATAACAATAATAATAATAATAATGCATGATAAAATCACATTAATGTTATATATTGTTGCGTGTATTTCTATATGAGGAGTAAATGTCAAGCCTTTAGAGTACTCAACATACAAATGTTCTCTAGTGCCGCAACACTCTCACACTCTAGAACTAGAACTCCTTTCTCAGTGCCACTATCCACCTAGGGGGAGCACCTTGATCGCTCATGGGGTTAAAAGTTCCCTGACCCCAGCCTAGCCCCCGTGGCAAATAAGATAAGCCGACCACTCTCGTGTTTTCCCTCGTGAGTGCTCATAGACATGAAGGACTAGGTTTCCCGGCTGGCTTGCCCGCCACACAAGTATCAGTTTCAAGGTCACCAATCTGACCTGTACACCCTGGATGCAAGATAAATCTTCATGTGCAGTGTTATGTAATATCGTCCAGTCTGATACTTATTCCACATTGTGTGGTGCTCGTTAACCTCAGACAAACATTCAGAGAAATGAAGGACAGGAAGTAAACACCATATTTGAAATTAATCACCATTTATTAAAATAAAGTTACAGGGTAATGGTCTGAAAATATCTCGCTTATTTTACAGATGGTAAAACTGCAAAAGTAAATGATAATATGGCATCACTCCAACAGTCTCTGTAGATTATGAACTGCAAGGTTATCTTTCTCTCTAACTGTTTCTGGAACATTAGGCTTTCTGAAACTTCAAGTAAACAATGTAAGCACACTTAGACTCCTCATAAATAATGAGTATATAACTAAAGCCTCTGTCTTAAAAGAATAATGTATACAGTAATTGCACATACAGGTATGTCCGGCCTTTCTCCTCACATTATTTCTCATTTCACACTTAACATTTAGTACACATTTCCTAATAACAATGGAAATGTGAGGGTGGATTTATCTACTTTAATAATTGTCTCTGGATGCTGTAGTCTCCACAGTGGTGAAATGTACCACTTCCAGGACTCCACGATGTTGAAGTCGACCTCCCTCTGTAGTTGCCATTGTTGATCTCATTGGTAGGCTGCTCCCTACCACTGAGTTCCTCTCTTGGTCTGTCAGGAGGCTGGAAGTGTCGTCTGTTCTCCCTGGTGTCCTCACGCTAGGATACTGGTCCACTCTTCTATCGTAGACGTGTAGTACAACTGTTCCCCAGTTGTTGTTGTGACTGCTACACTGGACCAGGACTCCGTCATTAGAGCTCTTTAACGCAGCTTCTCCTGCAGGAAACGGCCTGCAGGTTGCACCTCAACTCCCCCAGCACTGACTCCGAGGAAATTCATCCCTCTGGAGTCCTAAATCTCTCCAAAGCTAGCAACTGCCAAGCGTCGCACCTTCTCGACTTCATTCCTGGTGACTAGTGACGCTAGATTTCCCATGCCTCCCACAGGGGAGCCTCACATCATGCTACATCACACTGGGGGGGAGGGGGGGTCCTGATTGGTCCAACTGGCCAAGCCTCTGCCACCGACCAATCATGTACCTCTTGCAATCTGTACCCTCAATCCTCTGGAGTATCCTTGGGCGGGAAAACTTCCTCCCTCCCGAGTTGAACCGCCATTTTATAGTGGAGCCGCTTACTCGCCTCTTCCCCATTCAAACTTAAAACACAAATGTCTTCACTTTGTGACATCTTGCCTACTTTTAAGAGTTATAAACTAAAACTGGG